TTGTTGGAAGAAATCTCCTTTTGTTTTTTCCCACTTTACAGGGCTAATCCTGTAAGGAAGGCAGGAAGGAAACATACCTAGTGGTGATTCTAGCCTAATCTTTATTGACCTGCTTACAGAAACTGCCTCTCCAGTTAACCCTTATTACATTGTAACAGCTAAGGTGAAGTGCCCATTGGCCTGAGTGACCTTGAGTTGGCACGCCCACCCAGTCACATGACCACTGATGGTCATTAGGGCAGAGAACCGGTTGTTAAATTATTTGAATCCCACCATTGTCAAGGTGGCTTTATTGTACTTTAAGATTATTTGGAAGCCTGTTGCTCAGAATATACTACGTAGGTAGAAGGAAGAATGGATTTGACTATATATCCATATGTTCTAAAGTTCCATAGTCAGGAAAGAAATTAAAGCTGAAAAGTGGTTGGATATTTCATCAAGACAAGTCTACTAAGCATACCTCCAAATCAACCATATTTGCACTTAACAAGAAAGCAAAATAATGGCTTTGGAAATTAAAATATATAAATGGGGCTGGAAAATATTTGAATTTTATTAGAAAAAAATGTTGGTAACCAGAATTTGAAGAAGCCATTGTTAATGAATAATTAATATAAATTAGAGATAATGGTGAAGCTAAATCTGTAATAATTATGGTGTTCTATATTAAGATACCTTCTTAAAGTACCTAGAATTGTTGAGAATCAGATGGCATCCAAGTTTAATAAATTATTATTTAATAATAAGACATGGTTTGCAAGATAAATATGTCTTAGATGGCATTCATAGCAGCTTGTGAGCTATGTGGAAGAATTAAAAATATGTATAGGTGTCCATACAAACTGCACCAATTTATTCTGTGTCTTCATTAAAGGTGTATGTATGTGTGTTAAAAGTTAATATTCACACCTTAGTAACATGATAATTCTAATTTCAATTCTGCTACCTAGGCAAAGTCTATTCAACAGACTTTTAAAAAGTGTTAAGTTATATCTGTTTGGATGACAAAGAAAGCATTTTATTTAGTTTTTCCTCTAGAAATATACTCATGAATATACTAGGAAATTATATTTTTCCTCATGAATATACTAGGAAATTATATTTTTACTGAAGAAATATGTTAAACTTGTAAGCCATTCCAACAACTCTAGAAAATTTGGAATATGAGCAAGAGAAACATGGATTGAGACATGACTGTTCTGATTGCTATCTGATTGCTGTCATAGTTGCTTTAAATCTCATATATTCAACTTCTAATTTTAATAGATATATTTACCCACTCAACCAAGGCAGCTTGCTCTCAATAGCAAAGTTAATGATAAGTTTTCAATTTCATCCTAAAAAAAATTCCAGCAGTTTTCCCATTGAAGTATGTCAGAGGTGGTATTCAGCAGGTTCTGACCAGTTTTGGAGAACTGGTAGTGAAAATTTTGAGTAGTTTGGAGAACCGGTAAATGCCACCTCTG